AGTTTTGTACTTGTTTTGAATATATTAGTTTAAAACAAGTACATTGTGTGCTGTCAATTTATTGTTGAAATTTATCATCAACAAGTCACAGAACCTACTGTAAAGAATTCAGCCCCTATGAAAACCTGAATTTGGCAAGCCAGCCAGGATTATACAGTAGTACCAGAAGACGTGAATGACATTGGAAGTAGGACTATATATGCACACCTGCAGTGGTAGCGAAAATAATGTATAAATCACAATCACGCTGAATGTTGATTGATTTTGATAAATTGATAGAGATGTGAACGAATTGGGCCAAAAGAGGTTATCTATGAGAGTTTCTTAAGCAACAACAAGACCTAAGGAGAGAAGAGCATCAACAGAGAAGAGAGAAAGGTAGAGTAAGAATACAAATTAAGAAAGGAGAGGGAGGAGAGAGAGATTGGAAATAAGGAGAACAAGAACACAAATTGAAATCACGAAGCCCACCCAACAAAAAGAACAAAGAATCAAATAATACAATAGGGTCAGGGTCACCAAATTGCCCAAACTTGATTAACAGAAAGATGAAATGTATGCTTTCCTGGGGAGGTAAGAAAAATTAGCACAAAGTCAGAACTGGGCCAGAGGAGACTGGGCAGTCTGTTTCAGCCCACTTCTAGCAGGAAAAGGCCTACAAATGTATTTTGTCATCGACTATGAAAATTAAAAGTGGCCTTGTTGAAATATTATTAACTTACCAAGGAAGTTTTTGCCAGAAATTTAGAAAAGCCAAACCTGAGAAAAGTTTTAGAAAAGCTGCTAACATTGCTTTGTTCTAATTACTTTATCTCTATGTTCTCTTTAGTAGGTGATGTATCCTCTGCCAACGAGGATATTTCAGTGCTAGATAAGCCATCTGAGTTGATTAGAACTGGAATATCCTTTGCTGGCCGACCATAAAATTCACTGAAAGTGACAGTAAATTAATGCTATCAGGGAACAAAGTTCATGAGGTGATGTCATTCACTGGACAAATAATATGAGTTTTCATTCTAGATTCAAGTATCTGCTTTCTTGATTCACTTCTCCACTATTTCATTCATTTTACGATCATCATGTTTGGAGAAAGAAGGCAACTGGACTAAACACCATCTAAAGGAGAAGAGTGGGTATGAGCACTGGTTCTTTTTATTCTGAAAATAAAAAAATATTCATTTGTTTATAAAGTGTCCATCTTCTTTATTTTCACAGTAGAGAGAGAAATTCCAGTCGAATTACATCTCTCACAAAAACTTCCTACACTCCTTGGTGAACTCTGTTATTATATGGATCCGTCTAACTAGCACTTGTTATGAAACTAGTTTCATCTGCAAATACCACAAGTACATAGAAAGAGGATAATTTGGTACCATGACAGCAGGATTTATTGTGAGGTCTTTTAGAAGTGAGATAACATGCATATGGAACCCAACTTGATATCTTGTATACATTGAGTTTAAAGTAACACTTAAATGAAGAGAATGAGAAAGTACTCGTGGTCAATTTACTGAGAGAAATGATTGAGTGGAGTTACCCTCCTGAACATAACACTTTTGTCAATGTTTTAAAGGACACTGGCATCAGTCAATTTGCAATCAATGGCTTATGGAAATATACCTTCATCTGGTACACCCTGATCATGCAAGTAGGCACTGCCTCTGAGAACTGATCTCAGCAAGAAGCATGGTCAACTGAGATTCACTAGAATGATGGGGCATCTGGCGAGTTTGAGATTACATGTGTAGGTCTCTACCAAACTTCCAATCTATTGTCAATTAAAGCTCAACATCCTTGGCTCTGGTCAGAATCATTAGTGACGAGTAGATAAAGGAGTGTTATGTCTCTGGTCAGAATCATTAGTGACGAGTAGATAAAGGAGTGTTATGTCTCTGGTCGTCAGTTAATTTTCCGTATAATTTCTTTCCAATGAAACTTTAGCGACACAAGTCTTTTCTTAAATAAAACTGGTTTATTCTTTCTAAATACAACTTTGCAATACATTTAATTTCCACAGTCACGCTATAACAAACGCTGTAATTCACAAGGAACGACTCACGTGCTCGACTCAATCGTCAATTTCTATCTGCAATTCAATTACATCACATTGTTGCCGTCACTTCTTGGCGGCTTATATACAAGAATACCGCATATCTAGTAACCTCTCGAGGCTTCATGAACTAGAGCGCATGACGTGTTACTAAAGTCACGTGACCTCCGCTGTCGTAACAGGAGAGATTTGCCAGTGGCAAAGGATATCCACCAGCTAGAGTTGTCTTCTGACAGGTTAGGTAGTGGGCACACACGAGTGAAGATTGTGATAAAAGGCGTATTTGTTACTTTATAGATTTAGATTAAGAACGACTGAAATAATAATTTGAGTAATAAATAATATGTATTTGTTACTTTATAGATTTAATAGATATTTGTTGTTACTTTACTAACGTTTTTACGCGTATACTGTGAGGTACAAATGGCTGCTGCTATGGTTTTTGTCTGGTTTATGAGCTCGTTGCTGTCCTAATTTAGGATCTTCTTTTTAATAAATTCTTGAAAATGTTAAAAGAGAGAGAGAGAGAAAGGGGGTCCCGCGAGGATGTTTGCCCCAGGGCCTGTGCTGGCTCTCGACGTTCCTGATTGCAGAGTTCTTCCCAATCTACTGAGGCCATTGCCAAACATAGCTTCCCATGCAAGTAGCATATGTCGTATGCATAGGTAACAAGTTCCTTTAATTGTTGTGACATCTCTCTCTATCTGGCCTTAAGTTGGCTCAAAAGATTGCTCTATTTTCTCCTGGGTCATATCAAAGGTGCTGCTCATACATGATGGTTTCTCAATCATTTAACTGCCTTTCATCTAAGTGGTGAGCAGCATTATGGGCCCTACCATCTAAACTCAGGACCAGACATTGAATAGTCTTCTCTGGAGTTCATCTATTCTCATATTGATTCTGGTGCCAGATAAGGCATCATTGATGTTCTCGACTTTTGCTGAAAGCTATTTATGGGTATTCTGACAACAAAAGCAGTCGGTCTCTGGCCCATGGCTACAAGACAATGACTTGTTTGTGGTAGCTCATCATACATCCCTACACAGTAGGGAACTTCTCTATTTCCCCTCACTGCCTCATATATTATTTATTACTCAAATTATTATTTCAGTCGTTCTTAATGTATCAAGCGTCTATATGCAAAGAAAAGCCAAAACTATGGTTTTTATCATTAAATGAAGATATAGCCTAAAGATGCTTTGTGGGCATAACCAGGTTTCACTCGTCCGGGCCCCTGTCGGCGGGCCTGTCTGCAATCAACTTATATGACAATACTTGGAGGTGATAGACCTTTTTGCCCTCACAGAAGCTATATCCACTGTGACCTGCTTTGAAGTAGCAACTTCAAACTGGCTGCTGGAATGAAAAAAGCCTACATCTATAACTGAAGTAAAAAATCTGCAGCAAAGGGTCCAATGCAGGTAAATCCACCATAGAAGGCTAAAACAACTTGAGTGGTTGCCAAGCAGCCACATCCACAGAAAGTTAATATCAGGCGACAACACTGACCTCCAGTTGGTGGGCAGGCTATGCAGACCTTCCACAGGGTATACACTGCCAAAACACCTGTACGAAGGATATCTATTTCAACCATGTCCGATGCCTCCATCTAGAAACCATTAAAGACAGGAAGAGCAAAGTGTCTGCTTCCTTTTGGATGAGTGTGGCATTAGTAGAGGAACTGTCCATGCTTTGCAGTACTGCAGAGATGGCAGGGTGATTAGATCCAGTAGATGCTCACCAGCTCTCATTGTCCTCTTTTTGCCAGACAGCAAAGTGGGCAAGGATATCAATATTGGCCATTGAACCAGCAGATCAGGGATGATAAACACTGAGAGGTGAATGCTGTGCCAACAATCTCTTATTGGGCTTGTTTATTGGTTTTTGGAGAACATAATAGTTGTCCACTCGTCAGCTCATCACTGTCAGGGTTGGATGAAGTTTGGTATGTACTTATAAGGGTGCAAAGGCAGGAAGTTTAATTTCTTATGGACACTGAAGCAGCAAAAATCCTGGAGGACGTTTACATTTTATAAAGAGGACAGTGTTGTAGGCTATATTTGTAATGCCTAAATTTAGAAGTTTACTAGAGGGAGATCGTGATTACAATGTGTTTGAGACCCAGAAAGATCATGAAAATCAAAAGACAGCTATGCTATAAGTACGAGTGAGTATTGATTGAGTGAATCAGTTCACTGTCAGAAGAGTTATTCAGTATTGAAATTCGATGACGAGGAACCTTATATTAAAGTTTTTCTTCATTACCCATTTAAGCCGTCTCCAGCCATTATTATTCAGTATTGGTATGAGAGCTACCACTCTATTCTGCTTTTCAGGTTATCAGTGAGTTACGTGTTTGTTTATCTATCAAAGTTAATTATCTATTGAAAAGTTAATTTATAAAATTAAACCTACAAGTGAACGTAACTGTAGCAAACGTTTGATGAAGAAATAAATCAGTTCGTTATCGTTTCGTAGACTGGATTTGGTACTATTTTTACCAAATAATTCAGAATAAACCGCCCGACTATAGTAAACGTTATAGTAAACATTTTACCGCACATGCTTCGACAGCTTCTCTCCCTCTAACTACAAATACAACCTGATGATCACTTCTTTGCATGCTAGAGTTTTTAAAATTTGTTTTTCTTATTTATGTCTACACAATCATATAACATTTCTACATCTTTCTCATAAGAAAAATGTGTATCGCTGACCTATTCATGAAACGGTAACACGTGGTTTTTATATTCTATTATTATGAATAAATCAAATGTATCATTTTGTGTAAACATAATGGTCATATAACAGCACATAGAACCATTGATAATTCCTAGTTATAGATTATTTTTCGAGCTGACGTTGTAAGCCACAGTTTAAATTTTTATAAATATGCAACTTATTTTTAGTAGCACATTATTTCCATTAAGAGTAGCCATATTGGTTTGCAATTTCTATAAGCTCATTCTTTGATCACGTTTAAAAAGAGGACTTGTCGCTTAACGCGTCCAAAATGGCGGTTCAGATAGATTTTAAACCTAATCGTGATCTTTTAGATCCAAAATTTGAAAGTTACAGATTGTCTTTGGATCCATTGCCAGTGCTTAAACAGCAGTTAAGCGGGGGTAAGAATTTATAATAGTAATCTTATGTTTTTAACTTTTTTGCGATTAGTGATATAACTATATTATATAAGTGCTAAAAGTGAAACATAATATGTAAAGTAGACTAAGTTGAAGGACTTGTTCGTAGTACTAGTATTACTAATAGTAAGACTACTAGTAGTAGTAGTTGGACATGAGGAAATCTAATGACTAATATAGACTAGCGTGTAATGTAGTTTGCGCAAACTTTTGTGTATGCTGTTTTGTTAAGCGAAAGTCAAAGGAGTTACATTTATTGATCTAATTGAAAGTTACGGCTCCCCCAGTCAAATTAAATCTTAATTTATATTTAATGGTAAAAAAGTAAAGTATGCGTTATCCTTAGCATTTCAACAAGTAGTAATTTAACTTAGGCTTATGACACTTGACAGTTATGGTGTTTGTTTTGTTTGTTTTTACAACAATGTATATAGTTGTCTACATTGGGTTGATTTACCTGTTCATTTGTGCAAGTGTCAGCATACAACTTACAAGTGGAGTCTAATCGATTTGCAGATTTATGATTCTTACTTTTTAGTTTTTGTACATGAGGAGAGTAGTCCAACTTAAGTTCTAAGTATACATAACACAGAGAATGTATCGAAAACCTTCACATCGTTTAAGCTTCCCCTCCCCCAGTTCTATTTGCTTCATACTCTTGTCACAACCTTTGTACTTATTATGATGGAAATATGCTTTCCTAAATGTTAGCCACCTTAGAAATCTCAGTACAGAGTAAATATAATTAGAACCAAAAACCCGGTATATTCCTTTAATAACTTTCAAATATTCAGCTAAAGGCTTGAAAGTTTTATCAATCATTATACTTAAAATTTAAGTTAAATCCTCCTCACTATCCATAGTAGCAATAATTCTCACAAAATATTTTCCTACTCGACATGTAAATGTATTACTTTACACTTTCCAGTATTGAAACTCATTTTCTTTAGGTTTTCCTACTTGGCAAGATTACCCAATTCCTTGGGTATTGAAAAAAGGCATTTTTCAAAAAGTTGGCCATACCTAGCAATTCAGTATTATTAGCAACTTTAATAATCTTATTTCTTATCAGTAGAGCCCAGCAATTAACTTGATTAATCGATATAGTCAACTTCCTTTGACCATTGATCATGATGATTAATGTCACTTAAATTAATTGATGAATGGAAATTACTAGTAAATAGATTAATGTCATAAAAATAATACTAATTGAAATTACTGTTTCTAGTTGCTACTGTTCAAATATTCAAGTAACTAAAATAATGCTATTATAATTTTTAATTATTATTTTCAATTAATTCAAGGTTGTTCAACTTAATCAATTAATGTCATAACTTACAAGAATAATTAATCAAAATTAATGTTTCTGATTTTTACTATTTTTGATTATTCCAACTATTAAGGTCAGTGAGAATAATAGCTTAGTTGAGCGTAATTGAATGATGAACCCAATGATTAATCCATTATCAGTAGTCTGTATCATTGAAATAGATAAAAATCTGCAGAAGTTGTAAGACAGACTATTCAGGGATCCCACTAGCCACATTGTTTAATCAAAATGGTGCCTGCTTGTCACAGTATTCTGTGTTCTATCTATAAGTAAATTTTTAATCACCTACTTGAGTTGTTCCCCAGTTTCATGAAAACTAAAATTAGTAATTAACCTATTGTGAGGAGTATGATCGAAAGGTTTCAGAAAATCTATATATATATATATATATATATATATATA